AGTAAAGAAGTTATTCATTTAAAATGGCCAACGCAAAAAGTTTATATTCAGTGCCTTACAGTTTTCCATCAGCCCTGCCGTGTCTTCTAATATCTCTATGCCCACGTCACTACCCGCCGCATCGGAGACAGCATCACCTGTTCCTCCAACACCGGTAACACATTTGTGATCATCCACGCGAACTTTCGCCTCACCGATTCCACCGACATATGGGCGTCCGCATACTTCTCTCCGACATGTCCATTCAGGTCCTTGGACAGTACAGGAGTACCAGCCTCAGCAGTACCAGCCAAATCAAACTACCTGGACTCAATTATGTCAGCATCACCGTGTCCGAATTCTCAAGGGCCATCAGCAATTCCTGATTATCCGGAAATTTAAAGACAACTAGATGACCATGATAGAACCAACGCGCCCACGGAACCACGAGCCGACAGGCCCACGGAGCCAAAAGCCGACGAGCCCACAGAAACACATGCCCACGAAATCGCAGAGCCTACAGGAACAAGCCGCAAAAGGTATCATGCAGAGTCAGAGTAAAAAAGCGAAACAGTAGGATGTAAAAACTCGACAATTAACGAGACTTTCGAAGTAGCCATTTTGCAGACTGCCGAGAAGTCGAATAACCGCGCTGATAAAAGAAACGTGACGTTGTCCCACAAGGATCAATTGATCATTTTCAGGGCAATTGTCACGCTTCTATTGATATGCACAGGGGGGCTCGAAAAATAATCCTCAACACCACGGTACATTGTCCTAGGTGCAGCGCGCACAGATCGTCGTTCAGCAGATACGACATAAGATGAGCTGTCGAGTTAAAATACAAACTTTTACTCAAAGCAGAGGTGGGCAGCCCATGACCTTAAAAAGACCATGGTTGATCATGTTTCGAAGCTGCTGTAGGATGGATCAAAGAGAGATTTTCGGCCGCCTGAGAAATTCACAAGCTTCAAATAAACTGCCAACAACATCAAAATGTTTCCATTTGAGGTTCAGTAAGAGTTGCAGTGTAGTGTATTGACACAAATCTGGGTCGGCATGTGTGATGTGAAGTGTCCCGTCTTTGGAAGAGGTAGTTATAGTTTTGTTGACTCGATAAGTATATCTCATTCAAGTTTCAGTTTTGAACCAGTAATTTTTTTACCAGGTTTGATTGCTTTCCACTCATACAAGAAAGATGAAGTGTTTGTGGATTACCGTGGCAAATTAGTAACCAAAATCAATGCCGAGCAGTACTGTGAGATCATAAACATAGATTTTCGGGTCCCCTCACCTTTTCAGGGGAGAACTTACGGCATTATGCCAAGGGTGTCAACTGGGAGCCACCCAAACCCATTGTTGCCCAAACAAATTACAAGTATGCTAGTTAGGTCCCACAATTTTTAAGGACCGAACTATCATACTTTTGGGTCCCGCTCGAAGCAATCAAATCCCCTTGTATGATCTACCTTGTTACGAATCTCCCTATAAATGACAGAAGGCATTTTGTCACAGACAATTATTAAAATTCTTTGTTTTTGTATTTCTCAGAATTTCATTGCCGCATTCCTATTGTTTGCAATTTTCTAATTTTTCATCCAAACTAACTTTGGTGAAGAATTTGCCCTATTGCAAGGTGTTAAATAGTTAACAAGATTCTTTATTTTTAATTAAAAATTAGTCCAAGTGACCATATAGTAATCATGTACGTAACCGTTTTCCATGGCCAAAAACTTGTCGACATGACCATATTGCTTCATAAACGTATGTACTGTTTCATTTGTTTGTTGCTCTAGCTGTAGCCTCGTTGACTCAGAACAACATTGGTTCCGTTTGTTTCGGTTAATAGTGGTTTTGTCTCTGACTTTTTGTGCGAGTTAGTCGAACGTCGTTTTAACACTAATCTCGTCGGAAATGATCCCGCATTTCGTTGTGCTGTTGTGAAGTCAAAATCCTCCATCAAAATAGTTAGTTCTTTAAAGGGAGATTAGCTATACCATTCTTTCGTGCTATGTGATCGACTTCTGAAAGGATGATTCAGTATTTGGGATCTGTGGCAAACTTCCAGCTCTTTGCCTCCTTAGAGCCACGATTGCAGAATTCTTATTTTCATCACCAGTTTGACATTGCTTCATCAAAATTGGTTGCTTATCACTCATGTAAAAAGCTAAAAAGTTGCTCCCCGGTTGTATTTGATGAGTTGAAGATATCAGATCAATAACAGAATCTGAGTAAACAAAGTCGGCTGTGAGTTCAAGCTAGAAAAAACTACCTGCAAGTTTTGGCCATTGGATGGCTGCAAGTAACATTTTTTTGTCAGAAGCTCTTCCGTTTGGTTTTTGCCAAGGCTCATTAGATTCCAAATCAGTGTTTGACTCGTTTCTGGCGACTCGGTTTTGACAACCGGTTCTCCAAAGTCATTGTTCCTCTTGCCAAGTTTTTGTTATGTTTCAGCAAAACAAATCAGTTAGGTGAGTTGGAATGTCCGCGAAGATTGGTCTGAGCATTGTCTTTCGTTAGGACAGTTACTCATAAACCATGGATTCATCCTTCCAACATAGCTTGTGGCGCTAGATTCGGTTTATTTTTCTGTCCCGCAACTGCTGCCGCTGTACATCAGAAATTAGCAAACACATTAAACCGCAAACCACAAAGCAGCAAATCAGATGGACGCTTTTGAGAAATTTCAGTTTTTTCACAACATATGTTTAAATACGAGGTGACACGATTGGTTCCTCCTAAGACGTCTTCCACGCCGCTTAGAGAAGTACGCGTGCATTTGCAAGATTGATGAATATGCAGAATGAGAAAAATAATTTGAGGAGCAATGACCAAGAGACAGATTAGGTAATGCTGGCTGAGGGTAATGATGCTTGGGTAATGAAGTTCCCGCTTTCAACATAGTTTGATATTGATGGATAAAATTGCCGGTATTAACGCTTGTATCAAAATTCGAAGGAGATAAAACAACCTCGGGTCCTTTTTAATTTTCTAATGCGTGATCAACCCAATCGTCTACTCTTCCAGATCCACAAATCAGGTTCTCTAAATTCGCTCACTTCCACTCAATTGCTCAGATCAAAAGACAAAAATAATCAAAATGAGTCCTTAATTTCAGTATAAATGAAGTATATTTTTACTCAGCGTATCACACTTTGCAGAATTACTTGACATATTTCGTAGTTGCTGTTCAGCCCTTTTCTGCCTCTAATACCTTGCCGCTTGCATCTTTACAGATTTTTTCCAGTTTTATACTTCAGATAACTGCTGTAATGCCTAAGAGTTGTAAACATTTTCGAGAGCTGTGAGCCTAAGGAACTGTTTTCGCCTAAAGATTGTAAACGTTATTAAGAAATGCTGGTGTAGTTGTAAATACTTTTCCCTGAACTCAGACTTCAGGCTCGTTACTTCAAAAATAGCTTGAGAACCCGACTCTTCTAACTAACTATGAACATCTTCGGTGTCTTCCCGTTTACAATACATGATTGCGTAAATATTATGTTTATAGCTAATCAGATTCTTCGTGAGCTGTTTAGGCGTTACTGCATTAAAGTTCTTTCTACGGTTATTACTAATTGAGACATTAAGAATGGAGCTCACGGTTTTGCCATCAAAAACCTCGCCTCAAATTTATAGCATCAAATCTTTACTTTAGGAAAAATGGATAAAAGTTTGGATTTTTTGTGTTACGTGTTGTGAGGAGGCGTTAGCCTTTTTATAGATTCAAGAACACTCATAAAAACTTCGGGTTAGCTACGCCATCTTTGGAGAAGAATAACTGTAAGAAAGTCTCTATAAATACAACATCTGCTCGCAAGACCTCTAGGAAGTGACCCTACAAGCACTCAACACGTGACACCTGATTGGAAATTTCGACGCCTCAGGGTCACTTCTGAGACAACTGCTCGGATTTTTTTTATTACTTTGGCACATTTTTGAGATGACAGATCTGAACTTTTGTCTCAACTGTTTTTCTCGCAATTTTGTCTCAAATCACAAGGCTCATTTTGCAGCCACGTGCTTGGACTCTTCGCAATGGGCTAGCTGCTACACGTTACCGAGGAACGTGCCTTGTCTGATCAGGGCATGCATGTTTCCAGCAGAGTTTGAGAAATTTCAAACGTAATTTCATGTTCGATCGTATATCGGTACCCGGAAAAATCGTCCGAGTGTCTGGGAATAGTGTACGGGTCGGCGGATCAAAATGAGATGCAATCTCGTTTCGTTTTCTGCAAGACTAAGACTTGCTTCAGCATTTGTAAACTATCGGCATCATAAACAGATCAATATTATTAGTTAACATCCGAACAAAATAAAGTAGCCATTTTCCGCCTTACAAGAGTTGACAACGTTCTCAACAATCTCAAAAATCGGATAAATAAGTAATTTCAACGCTTTTTGTCTGTCTTAAAAAGTCCAACTTTAGCTAATTTTCGCGCCATATGACGTCATTAATTTAAGCTCGAACAGGGTTGGTAAACGTTTTTAAATTTTATAATAATTTGTTTTTTTTACAGAATTAGTTTTTGTCCTCAAAAGTCTTTTACAATTGATCGAATTTTTCTTCTGCAGAAAAGCTGGTTTCAACATACTACTTTTTGCAAGTAATTAAGAGTTTTGTAGAAACGGAGTATGAAAACAAAAGTCAGCAGAAAAATCGTTTATAAGATTTTTGTGGACAAAAAATATAATCTCATGAAGTTCTGTAGAAAAAAAAACGATCATAGGTGAAAAAAAAAATCGATTATATTGTGAAAAAAAACGATTTGAAAGATTATAATTGAATAAAATGCATTTATTTGTAAAAAAAAAACTGGCATCCATAATCGACTATATTGTGCAACCGTTTGGTCATAAAAATCCATCATAATCGATTACTATTCAGGAAACATCAGTGAGGGAAGAGAAGTTCGCCTTTAGACTGTGTCCAACGAAAATGGTACCAGCAGCTGAAAGATAAACTTGCAAATGTATGCTTAGTTTAATTTCATGGTTTCGTTTTTTATCACAAAAACATTTTATACAAGCTGAAACTTGATTTAAAGTTAATTCTCATTTTAAACGAAGTGTGCAGTTATTCTTTCTGTCAGTTTTTTGTGTATAACTTGCGACTTAGTATCGTGATTTAGTTTTAATTTTTCGTCTCTCATACTTTGTTACGCGCTATGAGACTCAGAAAAGTAATTTACCTCTTACCTTTGGCTCCTTTTTTTTGCCTTCTCGCATTGTATCTTAGAAGCTACCAGGTGAGAAAAATCTAGGTGTTAATTTACTCAGTTATCTTGGAAATTTTCTGGAATCTTACCGTATATTGCCTACCAGCCAATTTAAAGCCACAGTATTCTGAAATCACGATCAAGTATTTATTCTACCTCATCGCGGCTTGTAAAATACCTGATTGTGATGGCTGAAAAATCGAACTGAGGAAAAAGTTAAAATCTTCTCTGACTCCCCCCCCCCTTTTAGTGGCGCTCCACCGTTTCGTTCTTCACTTGAATTTTTTTGAAGTTGTGTATTTTTTCAAACTGTTCCAATTGTCATGAAAATTGTCATTTGGTTTAATTATCAAAAATTATATATAATTGTTGTCAAATATAGCCTTATATTACCATCATTGATAATATCTTGAATATGGCAAAGAAAACCAGTAGCATATAGCTGTCCGCATGCCAATTTTTTATATACAACCGTACAAGTTGAACAAAAACTTTCCGGCTCTTTTACAGTCCACTTTTTGAATTTGCAAGAATGAATTTCCATTAACGAGAGCCATTACGAGGCCAAACTGTGCACTCGATAGGCGCACAATTTTGTGTCTGTATGTTCTTGGATTTCAAAAACTAATCTTTAAACATAATCCAAAATAATTGGATTCCACTTACAAAATTTCCGTGGGTTCTGCGTTCATATGAGTATAACGTAAATTTTGTCGGCACATTTGCTGTGCCGTGGATTCCGCAGCAAGCAAATATAGCTAGTTGTTTTGGATTCCGCAACTGTACGTGGATTCCGCAAATGTACGCGGAATCCGCAAATGTGAGTGGATTCCGCAAACTGTAAGTGGATTCCGAATTTTGTTCAATACTGAACTTGCATATGAACAATTAAAAGCTGAGCTGGAATTCTTATCTCTAGCAGTGCGGAATTTAAAAGCAAAGACTTAACCATTGTCAGCGGAAACCACGAACAAATCTTAAAACATTGGTTACCTAAATCGGTGGATGTCATCTTTTAGTCTTTTGGAAAAGCAACACCGAATAGTTTCAATATTTGGAGCCATTGAGTTGAGAGTGTATAGAAATACACCTCACAGCATATCGCCAAGTTAGGTCAGTATTTGGGATTGCGTCAATCCCAAATACTGATTTTTGAAGCATAACGGCGAATAAATTCAGTAACTTTATTCATTGGGTTGAGAGCGTATGCAAACACAGCACACAGCATATCACCAAATTAGGTCATAATTTGGGGTTCTATTGATCGCAAATACTAGTCAGTATTTGGGATTGATGGAATCCCAAAAACTGGAATAATATGGAATAAATATGGAATAAACTCCCTATTTGGATTCAATAAGTTGAGAGTGATTAGAAACCCAACGCATAGCAAATCGTCGAATTAGTTCAGTATTTGGGGTTTCATCGATCCCACATACTGGTCAGTAAGTTGGATTCCATTAATCCCAAACACTGATCTATACTAGTAATTTTCTATTTTAGTAAAATTCTATTCTAGTGAAATCAAATCATGTTTTTAAAAGATATATTTTTAAAGGCTACTTTATATATACATATATGTGAACGGAATCCGCAAACAAAATGCGGATTCCACTTTCAATTTGTGGATTCCATTTACACTTTGCGGATTCCGCTTATAGTTGCGATCTCTGCAACAGCTCAATTTAACTATACACAAGTCTTATTGTTTGTTTGTGGACTTCACAAACAGTTTTGGATTCCGCAAATACGGTTGCAGATTCCGCAAATTTGTCTGTTTTTGGAGCAATTTTGAGCAGAACAGTGTTTTAAGTGTTTGTTTGAGGAATCCATAACAGCAAAGAAGATGAAAAAAAAGTAGCAATGACGTGGATTCCGCGACTAATCTGATTTTTGCCTGTTGAGGAATCCGCATACAAAATTTACATTATCAGTTAGATTTTTGTCTTTTAAAGGGAAGAGACCTTTTTTGTTTATATAGTTTTTGTTTGAGTGGTTTTTGCTGTGTTTTGTTTTTTATCCATGAAGAGTATGGTATCGGTTTAAATGTAGCTTTTTCTAGTAAATCTACTTCGTAGTGATTGTTTTGGCAATCTAGATATAGTAGAAAATGTTGTAGATTATTTATTTGTGATTATTCTACAACAGTTTCACTGCACATTTGCTTTCAAATCTTGGTGATGTTTCTTCTTTTGCAAGGAAAAATTTTATTTTTTGTGGTATATCAACTGTTGATTTTCGTGTCATTAATTCAAGTGGTTTATTTCTGCTGAGAGTGTCGGGTAGTGCAAAGTTTTTTCCTGCTGTCCAAACTATATGTAAGTTTGAACTTTCATTAAATTAAGTTGAAATCTGTAAACTCTATGGTCTGGGTGTGATTTTTGTGTAAACAGAAAAATTATCGGTTTATGGCCTGTAAATAAAACTGTTGGATGTTTAGATCCAAGTATTAAAAATTCCTATTCTGTAAGTGTATATATTATAGCTGTGCATTCTCTCATAAGGAAAAATAGTCTAAGTTCAGCTTGTGTAAATAGTCTAGAATTTGCTGAAATGAGGTTCATTTTATTTGTTCCATTGTAAGATTGTAATAATGCTGCGCCGATGCCAAACGTGGAGGCGTCGCACATAGCATAAAATGGCTGATTTGGATTTGGAATAGAGTTTGATAATTGATCGGTGAGAAGAGTTTTTACCTCTTCGAGTTGCCTTTGATGTTCTTTTGTCCATTCAAAATTATTTTTCTGTCTAAGGCTGTTGTAAAATGGTCTTAAGTATAGCTGCATTTTGTATACGTATTTACTTAAGAAGTTCAACGTTCCAAGAAATTCTTGTATTTTTTCTTGTTTGATGGATGTTGAAGTTTTTTGATTGCGTCTATGCGGGATTTTAATGAAGTTATTGTATTTCCTTCAATAAATGTCCAAGGAATTTTACACGGGTGAGAAAAAAAATGTGATTCATCCGGAGCTGCTTTCATGTTTGCTTTAATTAGTATTTGATGATATTTATCTAAGACAATAAACATTTCGTTTTTTGTCTGTGATTGCATGAAACCATCGTCTAATTATGTTATGACAATTTTACTGATAATGAGTGTTCAAAAAATTATACTCATAAATGCTGAGAATGCTGCTGGTCCTAGGAGAATCCAGAGAATAATCTGTTGAATTGTTGGTTTCCAATAACGAATTGTGTTAATCGTCGTGATTGTTCATCTAGTGGCATTTGATTATATGCACTATTCATATCTGCTGTTGTGAAATATTTACCGTTTATTTTTGTGAGAATTACTTGAATATGTTCAATAGGCCAATTACAATTAGATTCATCAATGAGGGAGTTTAAATATCTTGCATCTTTGAAGATAATTAAATTTATAACGATATTTAATGATTCTCCTTTCGCTAAGATGATAACGGGGTTTATAAATTTGTTACCTTTTGGCGGTTCTTCTTTATTTACTGGAGAGATAATTTAACATTGTTCTAGTATTTCGAGTAATCGGTTTACTTTATCTTGCAAGTGAATTGGGGCTTTACTTGCTCGTTGTTTTTTGAAAACTGCGTCAGGTTTTAGGCGTAAAATTAATGGTGAATTAATTTTTCCTTCATCAAATTTTGATGTTGCGTAAACTTCTGGGTATTTAAATAATAGGTCAGCTAGTTGTTCGAATTCTTTTTGTGTTATCTGAGAGTGTTGAAATTTAAACATTGTTAGAAATTTTTGCTGTTCAGTCGTATATTTTAAAACTTGAAATGTTGGTTTGAAATAGGATGTTTTTGTAAAATAATCTGTATTACGTTTTTCATTGCTTAAAATATTACTAATTGACAATTTTTCATCAAGAATTGTTGATTGACATATATCTAATAGTTGTAAAATACTATTTACTCTATACGCTATGTCTTTTGTGTGAGAAATTGTTGCGTTAATTTCACAATAACCGAAGATATTGCCTTTGATGTTCTTTTGTCCATTCAAAATTATTTTTCTGTCTAAGGCTGTTGTAAAATGGTCTTAAGTATAGCTGCATTTTGTATACGTATTTACTTAAGAAGTTCAACGTTCCAAGAAATTCTTGTATTTTTTCTTGTTTGATGGATGTTGAAGTTTTTTGATTGCGTCTATGCGGGATTTTAATGAAGTTATTGTATTTCCTTCAATAAAATGTCCAAGGAATTTTACACGGGTGAGAAAAAAAATGTGATTCATCCGGAGCTGCTTTCATGTTTGCTTTAATTAGTATTTGATGATATTTATCTAAGACAATAAACATTTCGTTTTTTGTCTGTGATTGCATGAAACCATCGTCTAATTATGTTATGACAATTTTACTGATAATGAGTGTTCAAAAAATTATACTCATAAATGCTGAGAATGCTGCTGGTCCTAGGAGAATCCAGAGAATAATCTGTTGAATTGTTGGTTTCCAATAACGAATTGTGTTAATCGTCGTGATTGTTCATCTAGTGGCATTTGATTATATGCACTATTCATATCTGCTGTTGTGAAATATTTACCGTTTATTTTTGTGAGAATTACTTGAATATGTTCAATAGGCCAATTACAATTAGATTCATCAATGAGGGAGTTTAAATATCTTGCATCTTTGAAGATAATTAAATTTATAACGATATTTAATGATTCTCCTTTCGCTAAGATGATAACGGGGTTTATAAATTTGTTACCTTTTGGCGGTTCTTCTTTATTTACTGGAGAGATAATTTAACATTGTTCTAGTATTTCGAGTAATCGGTTTACTTTATCTTGCAAGTGAATTGGGGCTTTACTTGCTCGTTGTTTTTTGAAAACTGCGTCAGGTTTTAGGCGTAAAATTAATGGTGAATTAATTTTTCCTTCATCAAATTTTGATGTTGCGTAAACTTCTGGGTATTTAAATAATAGGTCAGCTAGTTGTTCGAATTCTTTTTGTGTTATCTGAGAGTGTTGAAATTTAAACATTGTTAGAAATTTTTGCTGTTCAGTCGTATATTTTAAAACTTGAAATGTTGGTTTGAAATAGGATGTTTTTGTAAAATAATCTGTATTACGTTTTTCATTGCTTAAAATATTACTAATTGACAATTTTTCATCAAGAATTGTTGATTGACATATATCTAATAGTTGTAAAATACTATTTACTCTATACGCTATGTCTTTTGTGTGAGAAATTGTTGCGTTAATTTCACAATAACCGAAGAGTCCTAGTGGTAAGGTTATTTTATATGGGGAATTTTTATATATGTGTAGAGAAATCATATCAGAGTCTGAGTCTTTCATGTATTTAATGGATGAAATTGTTACTCGGAAAAATTTTTGAATTGGTCTCAATTCAAGCTCAGACATAAAGAGATGTTGTTTGTTTTGCTGTTTAAGATATAATTTTAAGATATAAGATAAAATTTTAAGATAAAATTCAAGATATAATTTAATTTAAAGATCCAAGGGAAGCCTTGATGATCTGTTATTTAAACGAAATTAATTTAAGTGAAAGTAAGGATAAGCCTTGATAGTTTAAAATTAGAGCGTTAAGGTTAGGTGTTAGTTTTGATGATTGTTAATTTTTTGAAATTCGCTGTCATGTTTTAAGTGATGAAGCTGGGTTGATGTGATGAATTATAATACTAACAATTTATGATTTATACTATCTAATTTTTGTATTTTTATATTTAATAAATGTTTTTTCAAGACGTCATTTAATTTACAGCTGATTTGAGGAAAACGACAAGTGTTGTTTTTATCAGTCGTTATTGTACAATTAATAGAGTAGCGCCATTAAAGGTTGTTTAAAAGTATTTTTCATTCCAGGTAAATACAAAAGTTTGATCTCGTTTTGTCGTACTATCATGAAATCAATTGGTAGATTTCTTCCTAGTCGTATGTTGTTTCTTGTTCGACGTCTTCTTCCAGTACCGGGTAGTTCTCGTATTGTTCGGAATATTGGATCTGATCTATTGAGGCGTAGAGACATATCTACTAAGTTTTTGCCATATAACATTTTTATGAAATGTTGTATTTGTATAATTCTAATCTAATTTTTGTCTAATGCTAGGTTAGTTAAGGTCTGTTCGAGACTTTTGGTCGCACCAGATGAGTTATGTATTCGTTACTGTACTTATAGAGTAATTTCAGATAAGGTACACTGTCTGCTCGTCACACTATCTTATTTTCGGCCGGATAGATTCGTGCAACTTCTTAGTCTAATACCGATCTTAATCTTACTCTTATGTCTCCTAGTCTCAATAGATCTAGTGTACACCTGTTTACTCGAGTTAGTTCCAGAGTGAGAACAACTGTATTCTAAGTTTAATTCAAATTGTTCTGGTGTTGAAATTACAAGTAGTTTCAGCACTTTACAAATAAATAGGTTGTTAGTTTTATGGAGTATGATTGGTTAGTATTTAATTTTTTATAAAGATAAAATATAATAAAAAAAACCAATGATAAATACTAGTTTAGATCTGGTTCCAGTATGAAAAAGCAAAAAAAGTGCATCTTAAACAAATTTTCAGAATATTTTTTATTGATATTCGTTTTTGAAACGCTTAATCTAAAAGGATTTTTGTTGCAAAAAAAAAAGAAAATAAGATAGTCAGTTAAAGTTTACAAAAATTAGAGAAATTTTTGAAGAAAAAATGGACCGATTATTCACGAATAAAAATTTTTCTAAATACTAAACAAGAGTTAACTGAATCCGTTTATTTCATTTATAATCAATTATTTTCGAATTTCATTGAGACAGACCTAAAATTTTACACATAAGCAATTATCAATTTCCTTGCTGGGTCAACTTTTTGATTCGGAAAACAAAATGGAATTGGTGGGTCATTTCTTTATGTTTCAGCCTGTTAATTTGCCAACAAAAACGAGAACAGTGATTCAACCAAAATTTTCTGCTAATAGTACCCAAAGCTCAAAAGTTGAGGAAAATGATACTCCGTTCAAAGTGTCAACGTGCAAGGAAGACATGGAACACGTCAGAGTAATACGGGAACTGAAAACGGATGGCAGCCGAGATGACAAAAATTTGACGAATGAGTTCTACAAGTGGCTTACGAAACCAGTTCAGTCAGCGTGCAAAAAAGTACTCAGAGTAGGTAAGATTATCGAGATTCTTTTGTAACAATTCTCGCAAATTTGGGGGTTTGTTATATAATAAGAAGGAAATGTTTTTTTTCGTATACCATTTTGCACATATCAAACCTGTTGTTTGCCTGAGAGATTCGGTTAAATGCAACAATCAGGTACTGATCTAGGGTTTTTTCGAGGGTGGTGGGCGGGTTTTTGATAGTTTTGACATTACGAAGCCAAAATATGTATTTTGTGAATTGTAAGCGGATTCCGCAACTACGACGCTCTTTTTAACCTTCCATTGTTCTTTCGCATTCTTTGATCGTTCTGGCAAAATTTTAACATGTTTGAAGACATGTGTCTGGTTTCCAAAAAACTACAAACACCAAATTAGCGTCCTACCCGCACTGAAGTTTCATGGATAATAATCGATTATATTTTATATTGGTTTTTCATTGTCAGTCTCTACAAAATAACAAGAATAATCGATTATAATCGATTGAAAATGGATTATAATGATAATATTTTAAGCAGTAAAATCTCAATATAATCGATTATAATCGATTATAATCGATTATTTTCAAAAAATTTTATCAAAAGAAAAATAATCGATTTTAATCGATTATAATGGATTATAATCAATTTATCCAAAGCTTTTTAATTACGTTAGTTTTTTTGTTCTCTCGCTTAATTTGATTTTTTCCTATTTTCAATCGAGTTATGAAATATTACAAAAAGTTACCTATAGATCCCACACCAACTCCCCCCCCCCCCCCATGCTTACCCGTACTACAGTTATATGTCCCCTAACTAGAGAGAGGGGGAGGGGGTACGTCGTGGTTGGGGGGTACGTGGGGGATGGGGTACATGAGGGAGGGGGGAGGTCGTGGTTGGGGGGTACGTGGGGGGATGGGGGTACGTTGGGGGGGGGGGGGGGTACGTATTGGGTTGGGGGTACGTTGGGGCGGGAAGGGGGGGGTACGTTGGGGCGGGAAGGGGGGGTACGTTGGGGCGGGAAGGGGGGGGGGTACGTTGGGGAGGGGGGGGGGTTGTTGTTGACGTGAGGAGGTGGTCAAAAATGCTGTTTTTGGGTTTTTTGGAAAATTATTACAAAATGGCCGCCCCTGGATGAACGTGTTTGTTCGAGTTTTGCCGATGGTTGCAAAAATTACAGTCTTTATTTACAAATTTTAATCAATTTTCATGGATTTTATGTACAAAAAATAGTCCGTTATATTGAAAACAAAAATGGATTATAATCGATTTTAATGGATTAAAAATCGATTACGTGGTCTAAATTTGACATGATAATTGATTTTATAGACAACATTTTAGTCAACGAAAATCCATTTTAATTGATTATTACCCATGAAACTTCGGTGCGGGTTTCCAGCTGCGTAATGGCAAATTTTTTGAGAAATTTTCTAGATCGGCCAATTTGGTTTTTCGAATGCCACAGAACATAACGACCCTATTGTCTCTATGAAGATCCTATTGTGATAACACTTTTTACGCAGCAGGCAAAAAATGCTGTTTTTAGGCACTTTTGGAAAATTTTGACGCGTTTTTTCGGCGCGCGCTTCCCTTTAACTTGTATATATTGGCCCCAAAAGCGTTCCCGCACTGACAAAAATGGTTTCCGGTCAATTTAAATTGATTTTAAATCGATTTTAAATAGACTCAAATCAATTAACATTGTACATTTCACGAATTTAAAAGGTTTCAATATTATCTTTAGTAAGTTTCAGGGTTGGTTTCAAATTGATTGGGCTCTTTTTCCTTTTCCCCCCACCTGCAAATTTTCATATTTCCGTTCCCTTTGTCTGATTGTCGTGAAAATTGGCATGCAGACTAATTAGGCCATAACAAGCATATTTGGTCTTCATAATTAACCTTGTAAAACCACTCGTTAAACCATAAAAGTAATGTTTGAGTGAGGGTGGTCGAATGTAAACAATACCCTGGTAACAAAACTCTTAGTGATACCGGCAAGAAATCTTTCCATTTTTCATCAGCTGGCATTTTATATTGTAACCCCTTGGCTGATAAAGCCCGATTAAAATAAATAAAGTTGCAAACTGAACTGGCTATAGGTTTTTCCAACTATGTTTGATTTACCTGCCTAATCTTGAGAAGCCATACTGCTTATACCAAAAAATGATGCTGATGTGAGTTAGGGAGAAATTTAAATACATACCCCGAGTCGAGTTTTTTCACCTAATTTGAAGCGAGATTTGAGGTTTGAGCAGATTTTTTTTAGACGAGTGTGTTTAAAATCTTACTTCATAATGAGTGGTTTGAGCGGTTTTCCAAAAAACCGCTTATAAACTGCGCAAGATTTGAACGGTTTTTTAGATAAAACGCTCAAACCGCTCAAATCTTGCTTCAAATTAGGCGAACAACCTCAAATTGGGGAATGTTGTCGAACAAAGTTGCACATTTTCTCTTAAAGTCCAACAAAACCGAACGAAGTCCAGCTAAGTCGAACAAAGTCGAACAAATACGAACAGTCGATCAGCCTTGAATAATTTCGAACAAAGTCGAGTTAATTCGAAAAAAGTCAAAAACTCACTGGGTTCTGAACTCAAAAAGTCAAAAAGGATTTTTTATTCAAAAAATTGAAAACAGACATTGCTACCTTTATGGTCCAATCATCAGTCAAACACCTCAGCCCAGTTTCCAGTGAATTCGGTGGAGACGGTCAAATCACACCGAGTTTTGGTCGACACTGTGAAAACAAGAAAGGAGCACCTCGATTCGGGAACAATAACAGCGGTTTTGCGATTTGCAGATAATCTTAAGAAAAACTATCCAGTCTGTCTAAGCATAGATCGTTCCTATAAACTTTTCGCACTCTAGACTTAGTCATTTGGTTTGACGAGGAAGTTTTTGGAGTCCAGAACTTTCACCTGGTGCCACTACTGCAGCAGAATTTGGTGTGGTAGACCTGAAGCTAGAAGTCAAACGAGACTTCGCCCCCACAGGTTATCATTGCTATGACGCAACACGGGATCGATTACACGATCTGAGGGTCTCAAATTGAAGGCTTATGCTTAATGGTTCTGGAGTATCAGCCACCAAAACAACAGCACATTTTTAAGAGTTAATTTTTCTACAAGCAACTTTTCTGTCAGTTTTAAGGTGTAGGTATTTTAGGTTTTGATTTGTCGCTTACGTGAGTTTTTTTTGCAAAATAAAGTTGAAATAAATTGGAATGGGTGCAAGGATGCGTTTGAATTTTTTGTTTTTGGGTAGATGAGCTGAAAGCCTCGGTGCAATTGAAAAAGTAGCCATACGGGTGACAATATGGCTACCTGGGTTGCTATTAGAGAAAAACTGTTTGAAAAAATGCTGCATCTTTAAAAATGTCAGCGAAAGTTGGACAGTTAGAGCGAATCGCAGATAGACCAACAGCGCTTTAAAATATTATGAAGAATGATGAAAAAAAATTGTTTTGTTTCAAACTATCCGCAATTACTTTCTTTCGAAAAACTACCCCTTCTTCTTTAAAGCGAGACCTTTCTCACTTGTTTTTTTGTTCATTTTGAAAAAGGTTTAATGCTTGTGTTTAATGCTTGTGTTTGTGCTTTCGGTATTGCTTGTGTTTAAGGCTTGTGTTTAATGCTTGTGTTTAATGCTTATGTTCGGTAACTTTTTTCTTTCTATCAGGTTTTTCACTTATTGTCATCCGGCCGGATTGGCATCATGATAGTGATGTACATATATACAAATTTATAACTATTTATACAACTTATACCTCAGGTGAACTGACCTTGAAAACTACGGCCAGTCCGTATTGCTAAGAGCACAGCATGTGCAGAACTGAGAAAAGAGATTATGTTTCAGTTAACTTCTATATCTTATTGAGTTATCACCTTAAACGCCGATCCGTACGGATTCAGTAAAGATCACACAACACTGTATGGCATAGCACAGTCAGCAGTATACGAAAACCCACTGAGTATCCCACCATTCTGGCAGAAGGCAACAGCGGAACCGCCATTGGAATGGACAAAATGGACAGCCATGTTGGAGACGGTGTAGAAGTGCGAACTCTACTGCGAGCAAAACCACCAATCATAGAACCAACCGAACCAATTTACGAACTGGAGATTAACAGTGAAACTGAGGAGGAAAAACTGAAACGAGATCTACGAAAGCAGGAGAGAAGGTCAATTGGGAAATCAAACAACAAGAGTTCGAGAAAGAGGACCACTTTGCAACCATTTCCCATGGGACGAAGCAGACGCAATGGTGAAAAATTATATCTTCATGAGTTTAGAGGCCGAACGCCAAAGACAGCTACAACAAAAACGCCCAGGACTTGAAATATATATATATATATATATATATATATATATATATATATATATATATATATATATCAATTAAAGAGTTGATTCAGATACTGGAAGACATTTTTGTCACAACGCGGATAATCGCTTTCGAAAGATATAATTTCATCTACAGAAAACAACGGAAAAACGAATCATTAGATCATTTCCAAGCTGATTTACTAAAATTACGGCCCAAATGACGATTGGGAAAATCACCGAAGAACTACTAGCAGAAGCAAGGTTGCCGCAAAACGCCTACGATTATGCGATAAGAAGAGAAAAATTGATAGAACACAGTAAGACTATGAAAACCAATCCGTTCGGTCGAATAAATTCAGCGACAATTAAGCAAGAACCCATAGGATACATACAAAAACACGGAAGAGGAGCTCCAAACGGGTACCCAAGCACTAATCGGGCCCAAGCACATGCAAGAGTCAAGCGGAGATCAATAGGTGACGAACAGGATGAAGACATCGACGTTGAAGAAAACGATACCGTTGCCCACGCAGAATTCAATCAAACAGACGGATGAGAAGACATTCCTCGAGACGATTTTACTATAAAAGCAATCCCCGAAGCTTTCGAAATCAAAAATTCAACCGATCTGAAAGAAGACAATTTAAACGTCCACATTTTAAAACTCAAAACAAAGTCAGAAAACGTGTTCGCGATTGCTTATTCAGGTA